AAGAATTATTTTTTTATTTTTTATTTTTCTGAGATAAACTAATCAAGACTTTTTAACACATAAAATAATATAAATCATATCAACCCTGAATCGTTAGCCCTTATTAGTTACTAAAAACTCACTTGAGACAAAAAGTCCATCAGCTCAGAAGCGCTGAGTCCAGCTATAAATGTTCTCATCAGAGAAATACTCTCAAGTGGGATGTAAAACATTCACCAGCAGGAAGTTCGAATGGAACGTGCACAGTTATTTTATTCCACACTGACTGCAAAGCCTGCATTTGAGCATTTGCTCTCACTAGCCCACTGACCTACGCCAAATCATGCTTTTGCACAGCATAAGAGGAAACGGCTGAACTGCTCTGGCTGATTGTGCAATTAAAAAGGTTCACAGAGAGTGGAAACATTAAGGGTACATTCACAGTGACCATCAGTTCATCCTGTGGTCAAAACTGTCTCACCACTCAGAAAACATTCCACTGCAACAAAAGCTATGAGAAAATATTAATGATTATATTGCTGTGGTCAGAAGAAAACCTCGTATCTCCAAAATGGTAACTTTACAGGAGAAGGAAAAAACCTTCTTTACTTTTAATGTAAGTCAATGGAACCAGAATTTCTTCCAAATAATTTCAGGCCGTTTCTTTTGGTCCATTCATCACGAAATTTGCACACAACGTAAAGAGCAACAGGCATTTTCAAATTATGACAAAAACTGAAAAATGATAAAAATGGAGATACGAGGTTTTCTTCCCACAATAGCCATATATCATAAATCCGCCATATCAGTATTGGATGTATAGTGTAGCGGTTTTGGTGTTACACCACAAAACAACTGATAATAAGAAAAAAACAAGTATTACATCCATGCCTGCTACACCCTTGGATGTAGAGCTTGTAAAGATGGTTCTTCAAGCCTTCTTTAGTCAAGAAAATGGTTCTATACAGAACCATGGACACTCAAAGGACACTTTGCATGATTAAAGGGTTCTTTGCATCATGAAAGGGCACTTCAGATTAATGAAGAGTGTGTTGAAGATGGTTCCCTTTCCAAAAAGGGTTCCACTATTGTCACCTTTTTTTGGTACTATATAGAACCCTTTTTGGTAAAAGTGTACTAAATTCAGTTACTGGACATGAATGGGTTAAGCCAGGCCCTCATCGTACTCTGAAAAGATTCTCACTTGCAGCTTGAAAATGATTGAACCGGTATTATTAGTTCCAGCTAAGCTGAGTCTGAGTCATCGGCTGACTTGGAGACGTTCTCAGTTCAGCCCATCGCCGATCCTTGAGGAAAAAAGGGGGGAAAAAAAAGAACCCGCCTCTTTCCATTTCTCCCGCAAACAACTTTCTAACATCTGCTCCTCATTTTGTTGGAGAGGATGTTGCTGCGCACTCGAGAGCGGACAGGGAAAGGGGGAAAGAGGGAAAGAGGGAAAGAGGGAGGGGCGGCTATTTCTTTCACAAAGCCTGGAAAGCCCGAGCTTACGGTTGACCAACACTTCCTCTGTGTGCAATCCAGGGCATAAAGCAGTGAAGAAATACGTTATATGTCCAAAAGTATCTGGACAGCCCTTGTAGTGAGTGCATTCAGGAACCTTAAGGCTCCCAGCTTGCATAATCTCCAGAGAAAAGCATTGACAAACAGAATGAGACACCCTAGAGAAGCCAAAGGCCTAAGGTCTCCATGCCCAGTGCCAAGTGTGCCACCACTGGGCTGTGGAGCAGCAGAGCTGCGTTCTCTGGAGTGATGGAGCTCCAAATACGTTTGGGATGAGTCGGAGTGATCCAGAACTGACCATCCAACATCAGTACCTGACCTCACTAATGCTCAATCAAATCCTCACAGCAATGTTCCAACATCTAGAGCCTTCCCAGAAGAGTAGAGGCTGTTACTACAGCTCAAACTCACTATTAATACCCTTCATTTCAGAAGAAACACTGGAGTCTGTAGACTTTTGGACATATAGTGAACACTGTTATTTCATCAGCCAGCCTGAAAATTTTCCAGTTATCTGTGATACATTCACCACAACGTCCGATAAAAGGAACGAGCCTGTTTCTCATCTAGGCTACTTTATATTCAGGCCTGGCTTTGGATCAGTTTCCTACCCTCCACCATCTGGCTTCAAGTAGACTAAATCCAGCAGGGGGGTGAAGAGCTCTCAGCCCACATTTTCACTCTCCTTCCCCACAAATATACAGCTCAATCCCATTTGGATCACTGTGTTGACAACAAAACAAGGGTCTGAGCGATATATCGGTTGGCTGATAATACAGGCCGATACTGAGGCCTGGCAGACTTACTGATATTGGCAAAATTCATACTGAAGCATCAACAATTCATAGCTTGTTTTATTCTGTAAAAAACTGCTTGTGACGATTATGACCATATTAATTTGTCACAATAGATTAATTTGTTGCCTCAATATAGTAATTTGAGTATTCAATATACTAATTTGTGGCCTCAATACAGTCATTGTTGCCTCAATATAGTAATTCAAGGACTCAATATATTAATTTGTGGCTTCAATACAGTAATTTGTGGTCTCAATACAGTAATTTGTGGCCTCAATATGGTAATTTGTGGCCTCAATATAGTGATTTGTGACCCCACAAATATACAGCTCAATCCCATTTGGATCACTGTGCTGGCAATAAAACTAGGGTCTGAGCGATACATCGGTTGGCTGATAATACAGGCCGATACTGAGGCCTGGCAGACTTACTGATATTGGCAAAGTTCTTGCTGAAGCATCAACAATTCATCAACAATTGGTGGCTGTAAAACCTGCTTATGACCATCAGAAAACAGCCGCTGGCTCACAAGCAAATACTTATAAAGACGGCCGGAGTAACAGACACCATCAGCTCACTTCTATCACAGCAATGGAAGCTGAACATGAAACAAGATCATGACAAAACCATGCATGTATAACAGTGAACTGTATCCAAACCTAGCTTTTAGCATGACGATAACAATTTACAACACAAATAAACTTTTCCTGTAAAGAGAATGTTGTAAGTACTGTAACACACTGTACTGTATTTAAGCAGTAGAACACGGAGGGAGTGTGTTATCATGAAATAACATCACGGCTGTGATTTGGTCGCCGTAGATCATCACAGCCGTGATGTTATTGGCGATAACACACTCCTCGAGTGTTCTATTGCTTTAATACAACAGTTAAATAAATAAAGTAATAAATTAATAAACTGGGCCGTGAACGCGGCGTTTAATATGTTTTAATGTTCGCAGTTCCTTCACCAAATTATAGTTCCTTAACGAGCAGCTTGTTGCTACGTGAGAGTAACGAACTCCGCCCACTCGCTGCACAGCCTGCTGTAAGCCCCGCCTTTTGAAGTACAGACTGAGCCATAAAACTGCCGCAATATCAAGTTCAGCTCAGTTTTGTCAGTTTTTGCCAGATCAGTATTAATGTTGTTTTGTTCCAGCCAGTCTGTAAAGCATCTTACAGCCCATTTAGTTTGGCGAATGGTGTTGGGTTCATTTCTGGCTGATTCCAGGTTGTACAGCTGTTCTTCTGTCACAGCTGCCGACTGAAAAGCTGCTCAGTGGTGATGACAGTTTGGGAATTTAGTGTCGTCTCATCTTCAGAGTCTGACCAAATCGGCTGTCGGTCAAATGTGATCTTAAAAGTGTCCATTTTCTGTTTGCGGCAAAGTAAGAAGTAAAAACGTTCAAATGTCTTGAGCGCCTCCTACAGCTGTCAAAGTCGTTGCTTAGCAACGGCGTCTCAGCGGAGTGATACGGTGTTTGTGAAAAAAACGTGATGTTATTTCACCATTAGAACGCTTCTCAACCAATCAGCTTGTGTGGCCGGAACTAACTGTTGTATAATGTATTATGTTTATTCTACAGTGCCGTAACATACTGTACTCTGTCATACCAGATCGTAGTGTATTGTATTGTATTGTACCGTAACGTGTCGTATTTGGGTCAAAACACATTGTACTGCCAGTAATGTTTCATATTGTCTTGCAACATATTGTACAGTATCGTAATGTATAGTACTGTAACGTATCGTACCGTGTCATACTTTGTTATGCACTGTTCTGTATCATAATGTACCACGATGAATAATAATGTATTGTATTTATCATAACACACTGTGCTGTACTGTAACATACTGTACTGTATGGTACTTAAAGCACTGTATCATACTGTATCGTAACATACTGTACTGTATCATATCTAGTGTATTAACTCCAGGTTAACATATTAGATTGTGATTCTACTGACATTTTTGTAGTGTGTCTATTGTAAAGCCTCTAATATTGTTCTTTTATTATGTTAGAAGCTCTAATAACCTGTACATGAAAATATTAGCTACATTTTTCACTGTATTATTTTCCACAGATTTGTACATTGAGGCCACAAGTTAAGCTTATCATAATTCATGGCTTCAGTATATTAATTTGTGGCCTCAATATAGTAATTCATTGATTCAATATAGTAATTCATGGGTTCAATATAGTAATTTGTGGCCTCAATATATTTTGACCTCAATATATTAAAGTGTGGACTCAATGTAGTAATTTGTGGCCTCAATACAGTAATTCATGCACTCAAGATATTACTTTGTGACCATGCCTTATCAAAAAAGAATCACTTTGGGGCTCCGCAGAATCGAGACACCACAGTATCGAACCGAATCATGAATCTGGTGAATCGTTACACCCCTATGACCAGACATAACGCCAACAAACCAACCCAAAGCTGCTGTCCTGTCCATGTCCACGCCTTATAATCAGATGGCATCGCCCTGAAAGTGAGATTTCAACTTTTTTAAACTATGACCGCCAGTTTTCCGCGCAGCGTTTGTAGTTTATATTTAACCGAACCGAATCAAAGTTAACCAACACACCTCTGGATGAAGGTGCAGGTCAAGCCAGCCCCTTCTCAAGTTTCTCACCACTTTCAGTGCCAGAAATAGCCAAATGAGCTGCGGCCGTGCCGCACAAAGCCCTGGACATTACCTGAACCTCGGGGAGTCTTTGAGACACTCCTCAAAATCCACCGTGATCTTCATCTCCTCCGTCGGAGTCGCGGCTCTCAGCTAAAGACGGCTTTAAAAACAGAGATCAGCGGCGCTGTTAGCGAGCTAGCTTAGCCAGTGGAAACGACACCGACCAGCTAAACTAACCAGCAAACCAGCAACGGGAAACCCGGCGAGCCCTCCGCTGGCTGTCGGACTGAGGCACAGTTATGCCCCGGGGTCATATATTTACACACAAACGCGGGTCAGACTGGAGTTGCAGAATAGCCTTGAATTTTCTGAGCACTGAAACTGCCCAGTTCTCTCCGACCAGTGGACGGGGCGGCTCCAGTTCACTCGCGACCAATAGGGTGCAGCCGTAGAATGAGTGGCGGCTCAGACAGCCAATAGAATAGCACGAGGCGGGATTTTTGTGCTCTGCGCTTCGTGATTGGTCCGGAGGAGAAGCTGCGCGGCTCCTACGCTCCGAGTAGGTTTCGATTCAGACGTGAAAGGTGTGAATTATTATAATTCAGAAAGGGGTTATAAAAATATACAATCCCTTTCTGACTTATAATGAAATAAATGTGTAATAAATACAATAAATAGCAATAAACAAATATATATACATATATATGCACTTTGTCGTTCTACAGTTACAGACTGTAGTCCATCTGTTTCTCTGCATACTTTGTTAGCCCCCTTTTACCCTGTTCTTCAGTGGTCAGGACCCCCATGGACCCTCACAGAGCAGGTACTATTTGGGTGGTGGATCATTCTTAGCACTGCAGTAACACTGATGTGGTGGTGGTGTGTTAGTGTGTGTTGCGCTGGTCTGAGTGGATCAGACACAGCAGTGCTGCTGGAGTTTTTAAACCCCTCAGTGTCACTGCTGGACTGAGAATAGTCCACCAACCAAAAATATCCAGCCAACAGCGTCCTGTGGGCAGCGGCCTGTGACCACTGATGAAGGACTAGAGGGACGACCAACACAAACTGTGCAGCAGCAGATGAGCTATCGTTTCTGACTTCACATCTGCAAGGTGGACCGACAAGGTAGGAGTGTCTAATAGAGTGGACAGTGAGTGGACACAGTGTTTATAAACTCCAGCAGCACTGCTGTGTCTGATCCACTCGCACCAGCACAACACACACCAACACACCACCACCACGTCAGTGTTACCGCAGTGCTGAAAATGATCCACCACCCAAATAGTACCTCCTCTGTGAGGGTCCATGGGGGTCCTGACCACTGAAGAACAGGGTAACAAAGTATGCAGAGAAACAGATGGACTACAGTCTGTAGCTGTGGGACTACAAAGTGCTCCTATATGGTCAGTAGAGCTGATATAATGGACAGTGAGTGTAGAAACAAGGAGGTGGTCATAATGTTATGGCTGATCAGTTTATATTATGCACTGAGGATGGTAAAATATATTGATATGCAAATTTTTAGTGTTTAAATAACCAAGGCTGCCATTGCAGGACTACATTATTCATTAATATTATTCAGTACATGTGGTTTGAAACATTTTCAGAAAGCTGCAGTATCTGAGCTCCATGTTTCAAGTTCAGCATGGCCTCATTTACTCCAGTGGCCATTACCAGAGTCCAAAAATAGGACTGAAACTACTGAATGAGCTGGACATTACTGCCCTCTTGTGGCCAAGTGTTATAGGTACATACCATTTTGAATGAATGAGCACTTTTACTGTTTTCTATCTTGAAGGATTTAAATGTTTAAGATAGGAACAGCCTCTACTCTTCCTGGGTGGCTTTACACTAGATGCTGGAACATTGCTGCGAGGATTTGATTGAGCATTAGTGAGGTCAGGTACTGATGTTGGATGGTCAGTTCTGGATCACTCCAACTCATCCCAAAGGTATTGGATGGAGCACCATGACTCCAGAGCTCCACTGCTCCACAGCCCAATGCTGGGGGGCTTTATACCTCTCTAGCCCACACTTGGCATTGGGCATGGTGACCTTAGGCTCATGTACAGCTACTCCAGAGCGTCCAACTCTATTGGTCAATGCTTTTCTAGGGAGATTTTACAAGCAGTGTGGGCAATGGGTGACCCTAAAAGTAGTATGATGGTAAAATAGTGCAAAATCTGAAATACTTTTTTTTTGGGGGGGACTATTTTGCCTCACAACGCCCTGCATATTATGTATCCCTCCACCATGGATGGATTTTAGGCCAAAATCTTCTTAAAACTATCATAAAACAGTGTCTCAGTCATCAGGCAGTGAATTCATAACCATTTCATGTAGTAACTTTCTGTGAGGGAGCTTTTAGAGGTGGACGTCTGGTTCCTATCACCACCACTGTGAACAGTTCTGACTAAGTTTCTCTAGAACAGAGTGTTTCACACCAAACCACTCTGAATGACTCTGTTTAAATATTAACTGTTTAATTATGGAGAAACTTTTGAAAACTGGTGGAATTTCCCTTTAATCTGCACTGACACGTACAAACGCTGAACCTCAACAAACTCAGACAAGAAAAGAAAAAGGTCTGCAACAATAAACTTCATATCAACATATTTTAATAATGACAAATATACACATTTTTAAGGTGAAGAACATGCAAACATATGTGATTAAAAAAATTAAGTGAATATTCTTTTCATTTCTTCAGGGGAAGGTGGTGTTGAAGGAACGGTGGCCAAATTAGAAACAAACACAAAAACAAAACACAAAAAAGTTCAGCAAAAAAAAGCACAAAAAGAGCCAGGCAACAAACAGAGATCGTAAAAATATAGATGGGTATGAGCATTTACAAATTTACACACATACACAGGATTCTTCATCAGATCTCAAAGCACATGCCCAGCAGTACAGCCAACACTTCACACAGTGTAGAAAACAGGCCCGTTTAATCACCACCAGGAGTTCGTCAGATGAGGAAGTGACCCAAAAACTAGCACTGGGGGATGTTTTACTCTAATAAGGTGCGATTTTCATAAGTGCTCGTCACAGAACTGCAGTGGGTTTTAGCCACATCGTTTCTCTCCGTTTTAAGTGTCCAGCACTTCTATTTGATTGTAAAGAGGGAAGAGTCCTTTTATTTTACTGGGCACTAGCTGTTAAAGGGGAAACTCCACCACCTTTTCAAAATTCCTAATTAAAAGATGTAAATAAAGTAATTCAAGGTGTTTTTAATGTGAAATGCTTCGTTCTTGAATCAGAATTGTTCACAGTGGTGGTGATAGGAACCAGACGTCCACCTCTAAAAGCTCCCTCACAGAAAGTTACTACATGAAATGGTTATGAATTCACTGCCTGATGACTGAGACACTGTTTAAATGACGTTTTTAGCCCAAAATGTATTTTGTGAAATAAAGTACATGCAACTGTAAAGCAAACTAAGCAAAATGTATTTTTTTCCAGATGTATCGTTATTTTACCATCATCATTACACAAAATGTCAAGAAAAAAGCTGCTATATCATGACCCCTGGTTCCCATCACCACCACTGTAAAGAAAAGAGTCAGTAAGTTTCTCTACGATGCACAATTTCACACTCTGAAAGACTTTGCTTACACCTCAACAGCAGAACTGTGCAGGAATTTTTTTTAAATCAGTGGACTTCCCCTTTAATATCCAATGTTCTGCACCTCGGTCTCAAACGTTCTTGAAAATACTATCAACATTCGATGAGTTTACACTCAAGATTGTGCTGTTTCTCGTATACAAACACAGAACAGTCTCACCAGCCACAGATGAGCGTTAAGTGTCGGGATACAAAGAAAAAAAAAAGTCGTGCTGCTTTTCAAACGGCCATTTTCGGTTTAGATTCATTCATTCACTCATATCAAAAAGCAATATAAACACACAACTGCTGTTATGAGTTGGATGTGAGTACTTAAGACTTAAAACCCTTAACTAAAAACCTAATAAAGTGAAGAATTCAGGACAAAAAAACTCAAACTAATGGCTGAGGCTGTTTGCAAGCTGTACACTGTTCACTTCGCAGTGAATGAATGAAGGTTAACTGTTTCTGTTGTTGTGATACTACTAACCCAGGCAGGAAGGGCAGCAGAGCACAAGTATAATCATGATATAATCAAAAGGAAAACGCAGTGAAACAAGATAGGCAACACACGAAAGACAAACCGGCTGCTCATTAATCAGCAAATCGCTCTTTTATCCTCCTCGTTTCTTTTTTTTTTAGGGAAAAAGGAACAAATGACGTCAACACGGAAAGGATTCAGTACAGCTCTTCAGTAGTTCACACAGTTTCGTTTGGTAATAAATTACGAAATACTCACCGTTAAATTCATAGGATGCTGGGCGTAGTTGTGACTGCTCAAGTAATACAAAACATGGATTTAGGAAGCCATGCATACAGTAGAGCTCAAACGAACATTTTCACTTCCAGCCACTAGAGGGCAGCAGCCTCAGGTCCCCGTTAGCAAACGTTTGGGTGGCAAAATTCCAAAGATTTTTTTGTTTTTGTTCTTTTCTAGACATCTCGAGACTCTCAAGCACTTTGTTTTGAATGGGTATAACTTAGAAACTAAATATAATAACTCATATAGAGGGAAAATAACACCTGCTAAGCCTCTGAGCCACAGCCTGACAGCCAGTGACAGTTAGCAGCAGTCGGCGCTTCATAAACACTGATCCACTGTGCAAACCTGCTCAAGTCAGCCTGAGAGGCGTAACGTAGCTACGCTCTTTAAGTAAAGGTTCCTAAATGGTTCTTGGCATGGGTGTATGGTTCTAGGAAAACACCTTTAACCAGTATAGAGCCTCTACATTCTGTGGAGGTGCATTAAAGGGCCCATATGCTACATTTTGCTTGTATTTTATTTTATCCCCTGAGGTCCACTCAACGCTTCTATGGAATTATGTACTAAAAACAGTCATACCTCATTTTTTCTCGACCATTTTCCAACCTCACTTCATCCCTACAACTTAAACAGGCTGTTCTGGTTACTGTGCTCTTTAGACTGAAGCTCTGTTCTGCTTGGATGTGCCTCAAAACGAACTTACACTCCCTCTAACGTCTGGGTGAACAGGCGGGGCTAAACTGTTGTAGCCTGAACAGGCGGATATATGCAAATGCATGTTTGTTTTTGTGACATCACAAAATGAGTGAGTTCGAAATGGGCAGTTTTAGGCAGGTAAGTTTCCATATATGAACTGTATTGACTAGATAGTGAAACTAAACAAGCAAAGCTAGGCAAGTTCAGTTTTCCAGTGATATGGGCCCTTTAAACTTCTTCAGTCTCAGAAATCTTACGAGAACCACCCTTGGAAAGGTTCTTTAGTGAACCAGAAGTGGTTCTCTCGCGGCATCGCTCCAAAGAACCCCTTTCGGCACCTTCATTTGTAAGAGAATAGGCTACGTTTGACTCTGAAGCTCCACGCCAAAAGCAGAATCAGCTGAAATTAATCAATATCAATGATGAAAAAATCGTGATACAGGCTGGTCATTAGTGTCAAGTGTAGAGAATAAACAAACCCACTAAAGGCGTGCAGGTGTGGGTTGCTAAACTTAAAGGGGAAGTCCACCAACTCTTCAAAATTTCTGCACAAGCCAATCAGAACAATGCAAACAAAGTCATTAAGAGTGGTTTAATGTGAAATGCTTCGTTCTAATAAACCAGAATTGACAGTGGTGGTGATGGGAACCAGACGTCTGAAAGAGTTAAATGCCTTTCAAAGCTCCCTCTCAGAAAATTCTCAAATGAAATGATTCTGAATATCCAGTCTGATGATTTAACCTTGTTTTATGATGGTTTAAGCTTTTTGCCTAAAAAGTATTCACAGTGGAGGGTACACGCACGGCGTTGTAAGGCAAAATAGTACCAAAAGAAAATGTATTTTCCCTATTTTACCCTTTCCAATATTGCATATAAAAATCTCTAAGACACACGTAGCCTAGGGTTAACTGGTGATTATGGCTAGTGAGTAAAATGGCTATAGACATTGTTACAGAAATCACGACCCCTGGTTCCCATCACCACCACTGTAAAGTCAAACATCAGTAAATTTAAGTTTCAGACCTGACCTTTTTTACATCAACCACTGAATTAATAAGAAATTCTGAAGCATTGGTGAAGTTCCCCTTCGAAGCTAAACACGTACTGACTGCTGTCTACGGGCATATGGTCAGGGTCAGTGCAACAGCAAGTATACACAGGGCTTTAATAGTACTACTAGCATTATTAGCACTACTAGAACGGGCGCTTAGTGGCTTTTCAATGGAGGACGTCACACATCGACCCTCAAATGAACAGCCTCACTCGGGCTGAGGAGAACAGCTGGGGAAAGCAGTGGCTCGCTGCTGCGGTCACGAACAGGAGCAGAGGAGCAGGAGCTGCGGGCGGAAGCACTCCTCTCCTTTTCAGCCTTTTTCAGTCTGCCCGAGAGAGGGTGGAGTCCTTTCTGATGAACCCAAGTGTTCGATAGCAGTCTTTAGGCCTCGCTGTTTGTTTTGCGTGACGACAGTAAGACAAACACACTCTTGGCAACAGAGGGAGCAACCAGCAGGTTGATATGGATTTGCATTGCTTGTAGATTACAGGAGGTTGGTGGGAGCGGGTCCTGAAGCAGTGTCCTCCGCGATCGTGAGGCAGCACGCGCACCGCCGACGGGTCACGAGCCGAGGCAGGAGCTGCAGGTGAAGCGATGTCGCTGTTTACGAATCCAAGGAATCTGCTGAGAGAGGGGAAAAGACCGCCTTTAATAATGTTTCACAGGTGCTTGCAGGGGTACAATTTATGATCTCATTATGATTTTATAGGAGACGTTTCAGTGCGTCATAAAATCTCAAATTTTACCACATTTCGACGAGCTTATTTTGGAGTTACAGATTTTTAAAAATATCCTGAATTAGGGCAGTATACGATATTTATCGTTATCATGGTTAACATGATAAATGAAGTCACAATACGCCTTTCGGAGCTGGTCTGCCACGATGACTAACTCTTATACAGCCTGAGACCAACGTTGGAAATGTAGGATTATCATCATTTAATCCCAGAAAAAACAGAAAATTAAAAAAAATTGAAAAATGTAAAATAAAAGTAAAATATATAAAAAAAAAAAACCCTCAAGATTCAGCACTATTTCTAAGTTACTATTCAAATCAAAGCAAGTTTGTGAATCAACCGTGTTCAGGCATTTGTACAAAAAGGTTAATTATTTTTTGAGGGTTATTATGTGTTCTTTTATTTCTTCTCTGTATCTGGCTGACATTGTGCTAGTTGCCATCCACTATCACTGTTAAATCTAATGACTGCAAAATAATCGATAATGCGATCAGGCAATTGTTAATTGTTCCAGACCTATTTCTGAGTACATCATGGATATCATCAGTACTTAAAGAATACCAACTGCAAGTTTCCCTAAAGAGAGCCTGATTAGTCCTGTTTAAATGGATTTAGTGCAGCACAGTGTGCGAAACATTGAATAGAGTTTACTGTATTCATAGTATTTCACAACACTTTTTCTGAACATTGTACCACTAGTTCTTTGTCTTTTCCAATTTATCAGATTACAAAAATATTTATCGTGACAGATTGTGTATCGTGAAAATTTCTTTAAGTATTGGGACACTGTATTTTTTAGCCATATCGCACACCCCTACACTGAATATGCAAATGTGACAAGTGAGAACCTATTTACAAAGCAGTGAAACAGACAACAGAAACGACACACAGTGCTTCATATTGCAGCTTTACATTTAAAAATACCCCGAGAATTTTATTTTATCCAAAAAAATGAGCGCATACTTTGCAGATTATTACAATTGCTTATAATATGTCAAAATTGGTTTATATATTTGTAATATTACACAATATTCGTAATATTTCCTATCTGTAATTCATAAGATTTCACAATATTTGTATGAATATTGTACAACGATACTACCGGTTCTTTTTTTTTCCAAATTAGATTACAAAAATATTTATTATGACCTATTGTGTGCCGTGAAAATTTCTTCAAGTATTATGATGCTGTATTTTTTGCCATATCGCCCATGTTTACACTGAATATACAAATGTGACAAAAACAAAACACGGTGCTTTATATTTGAAAATAGCCAGAAACTTTTCTTATAGCCAAAAAAAATGAGTGCATACTGTAAATGATATTACTACAATTGATTATAACATTTCAGAATTGGTTTGGCTGAATCACTGGTAGTTTTATTGTACCCTTGGCATGTCAACAATCATCGCGGTTAAAACACTGAAGTTGAGGATAAACTTCTACAAATGCAGGACTTTAGTGCGTGCTGTCGAAAACTGCTGGGGCATGAACACAGGCAGGTACGGTTCATATAGCAAGGGTGTGATTATTTCAATACAGCATTGAAAAATCAATAAAAATTAAAATATCGCCAATACAAACCCTCTATTTTACTACCTTTCATGGAAAACCAGTGCCAGTGATTAAAAGGCACCTGGGTTCAGCCTATCAGTTTAAAATGGGTGGAGAGAGGGCGGGGGTTATGCTATGGACACACCCAAATTCAAACGACTGAGCTTATTCTCTGAAGAGCTTATAAATTCTAGAGGCACTAGGAGCTGAAAAAGGTCTACTGAATAATTTTTATTTATCTGAGACAAAACAATCAAACTTGGGAGACTCTTGGAGAACGTTTAGATCGGAGGTCACTAATAGACCCAGGCTCTGTCCTATGTGGACCTGGACCTGGACCTGTAACCGATGAACTATGGAGAATTATTTAATTTCGATGGGGTGGTCCTGTTTTAATCGGCGTAACATTTCTAGTCATTACGGTGCTGCTTTAGCGGCCGGGAAACTCACAGACCAATCACATGCGTTGTAAATATCACACGTGACGCTACTCAGCCAATCAGATCTGTGTATTACGATAAGCACTGAGGCTGGACTGAGTGACGCACACACAGGGGAGGGACGAGGCGAGAAACAGCAGTCAGAGAAGAAAGTGAGTCAGAGGGAAGTTATTTCACATGACATTCTCTAAAAAGAGAAAACTGACATTAAATATTGTTTAAATATCACTGAACTGTACTTTATTTGATTTGACATTCAGTTGTTGACTGTATAAGATGTTGATAGACCTACTAGGCTACTTCAGTAAACAGTATGTGGCACTGAATCATGATGCAAGTTAGACATTATGATGTTCCGGCCATTTACTTCAGGAAATTCTTTAACAGGACCTTATTGAATTTTAATTAAGTACCCTTGGTTTTGATGAATATCTGCTTATTCATTCATTTTATTGCATCTGTAACCCTACAGAAATGTCATATTGCTCCATAACGCTATACACGTTTCAATGTTATAAATGTTTACATGTATCAGTAGATACATACATGAAAAGTATTGGACATCAACTTTCCCATATTAGAGCATTCCTAATTTATTTCTCAGAAAATTACCGACCTTGTTGTTCTCTGTGTTCATGCATAAAAGAGTTTTTAAATAATTCTCCTACTGTACTGTCTTTTGTTTTTTATCTACAAATGTCATCACACTGTCAAAATCCAACATATTGTTCACTTTCAGAACAAACAAAAGAATTCAGACAACAAATTAACACAAACAAAAGACTCGTAACAGTTAAGTGGTTAAACAACCTCCTGTCGATGTAAAACACTAAGGGAAGTGGTCAAGGTCAAGCTACCCTCTAGAGATCCACAAACAGATCTGAGCTCAACAACCGCCAAGACATATTTTGAGGTCTAAGTGATTTGTTTATATGGCATTATTTGCCAAAGATGGAATCAAAACCTCTGCTATTTTTGGCCCATGAGGGAGTAGAAGAGTGGTATTTGGATAAATAAAGCATCTAAAAGATGCAATCAGTGGGAACCAGAGGGAACATAAGCCTGGGACAAGAAAAAATACTGTAGTAATGCATTTCACTGTTGTTGGAAGAAAACCTTGTATCTCCAAAATGAAAAACAGGAGAAGGAAAAACATACCTTACTTTTAATGGAAGTCAATGGAACCAGGCTTTTTTCCAAGTCATTCTGGGACGTTTATTTTGGTTCGTTCATCATGAAATTTACACACGATGTAAAGGGCAATAGGCATTTTCAAATTATCTCAAAAACTGAAAAACGTTTTTAGGTTTATTAACCCCGACAGCAGCGATATGTAAATACATATTTGCTGAATTAAAAGTCCATCATAAACCCAAGCAATGCTTTATAAACATTCTAGTCCAGGGGAACTTGTCAAAGTACAATGTTTGTGTTGGGCTGAAAGCCAAAACGCCAAAACGATACATGCATAAAGAAGGTAGGCAGGTTTCAAATCAAGTGCAAAACTTCAAAACACAATTTAAGAAAAAGAATAAGTTGTATACAGTTAAAAAAAAAAATTGTGTCATTGGGTGAAAGGGTGGGGTTAGGGTGACCTTACGTTGGGCCAAACCAAACAGCCTGCTTGGCTGACTTTTGTTATTTTTTTTTATTTATTTATTTTTTTTTAAAAGTAATTTTACATTTTAAAAACATCCACATAGAGTAAAAACGTTCTGACTGTGTCACTAAGGGGACCACAGTGCCATGTTGGTAGGTGAGCTGTAACTCTGTAGCTCTGACGGAGCTCGTCTCATCACCGTTACTGCAGATACAGCCCTGCAGGTGGATGAAGATCAAAAGCAAAATAGCAAAATAGATCAAAACATGAAGATATGTGGAGGCTTTAGATGCGTCTCCAGAAAACGTTACGAGGAGATTAGCTAGATTGGTGGACTGGATCTGTATAGCCTGCATTTCTCAATTTTCTGTTCCACCTTAAATGGTGCTGCAGTTACACCACATACATACATACATACATACATACACATACATACACACACACACACACACACACAATATATGAATTACAAGTGGGCAAATACAAAGCTAACCTCAATAAATGCAATAACTGCAATAATTCCCCTCAATCAATTCATTAATTTACATTAATAAATGCTCTTTAATCATCAAAGACCTCAAAGTTTCTCTTGAAGGTGTTTAATGAGCAGCTAACGAGCAGCACAGCAGAGCAGCTGTTGAGCGCGTATCACTGGCTGATGTAACGCCGCGTCCCAAACCTCACGCTTCTGTACTCCACCTACTACACTAATGAGAGCACTTCTAATGATATAGGTGCTATTTTTACACACTATTTAGTGAGCTGGTATGCGGTTTGGGACGGGGCACTAGTAACACAGTGGGAAATCTCAGCCGTTTAGATTTCACTACAGCAACAAATCAAATAAAATCAAGGCAACATACTCAAATATATCAGATAATACGCTTTAAAAATTAGATTTAAAAAGTGATTTAAAAAAAAAAAACACAATTTAGTGCCTTTGCTGGATTGATTATGGCTTTGCTCTGCTGAACGAACTTAATGTTGCAAACCAAAATGGTGGCAGCACGACTGTGATGTCATCGGAATACTATCAATTCCAATTAAAAGTTTTTCCAAGAGCCACTTAGGGAACCTTGAAGGCCCAATCCCATTTTACCCCTCGTCCTTACCACTTAGCCCTACCCCTCCGTTTTGCACATACACGCCTAGGGGTCGGGTGTACCGATTCTTGTTGAGATAGATGGGTGGGGCGAAGGTTTGGGGCTACACGGCATTGCCCCTCTTTGAAGGCATATGATTCCCTAAAGGCAGTGTATCACTGCAGACTGGGAGGGTCGCCTACAGAGCGGCGCTAGTAGCTGTTAATGAAGTGATGCTCTTTTTTTTTTGAGGGTCCCATTTCATAGGGGAGATTTCAACCACTAGCCCTTGTAACTCAGTTGCAAGGGGCAAACTGACCCTTGAAAATGAGCGGTAGGGGTAAAAATATGAAATGGGATTGGGCCTAATCAATATTCTCAGTCATCATTTACCTTCTTGAGGGGGGTCTACGTTGATATCTTCTGTCTCTGTGTCGTCCCTCATCTCCTCATCCTCATCTTCTTCCTCTTCCAGCTCGCTGGCGATCAGCTGTCTGGCCAGTTTAATGTTGAGGCCTTCGTTGTAATGCATCTTCCTCATCATCTCAAACTGCTTCTTCTTGGCTGTAAAAAAAATAAAAAACACGAACTTTTATAGCTCGAGCCGCAGTGAAATACAGCCTCACATCCAGAGCTGCACAAGTCGTCCAAGGTCGTGGGAGCAATGAGAGATTTCTGAGCTACTGTTTGGGGAGGCACACCACAGGGCTTATGGGTAAAGACACAAATCAGAAAAGTCCGTGGCTGTACTGTCACTATATATCCAGTCTTCCTGAGGGACACTGCCCCACACACACACACACACACACACACACACACACACACACACACACACACACACACACACGGGAAATTGATTTCAGACTCCAAGCTCTGAGCTTTGAAGAAATATTTCAAAGCTGCTGTTCAACAAACTGGTGGCACAAGAGACCTCCACTATAAACACACTCACATTCGGAAATAAGTCAGGAAACTGAAGAAGGCATGTTTGAAGAAGCTGGTACAGACAATTTATCTGGAGTTAAATCTGTGGACAAAAAAAGGAACAGGCAATTCACCTTATTTCACCCTTCTAAGTACTTACTGGGCGATTTCTAAGCATCTCAGGCAGTTTTAATATCAATTGCTTAAATAATTTGTTAAAACCAATTCAGATAAACCCCCCACAAAACTCCATTCAATGGTAAAATACTGTTCAGCCCATTAGCCTAAATACACACTGCTCTAAGAGCAGACTACGAAGCTGAGAGAAAATGTACACATTTAGCTGAGAAACTTTAAAGGCTGACCAAAATGCACTTAAAGCAACAGTTACCAAAATAATACTGCTGCTGTAGGTGTGCACAAGCATTATAGGCCAGATTTAAAGCCGGACACCAAAACTGACCTTTTATCTTGTTAGTTCATGTTCTTGGTCATATTTAGCATAATTCATAATATCATATCAAACACTAGCGCTGCGTTCACATGTTTGCATTGAAAAAATGTTGTTCCACACTTCATAGCGGTAAGCAACCGACAGCGGCATGAAGCGCTTGCGAGAGCGTTACTGGTGAAAATGCATGATTATCTGAGTTTTAGCGGTGTAGATTGATTATTTAAAGCCGGGGTTACACTACAAGACTTTTACCCCAATTTTAGCCCGATTCTCAGTCAGTAGTCTGCAGATTTTTGAGTCAGTCAGAGTCGACAGTTGGAGAGAGAGTCGAGTTGTGTTTGAGGGGTGCAGACTCAGATTTCTGCCTCCCAATCGCGTTTCAGACCAGTCAGAGTTCATTAAACATGTTTGTTTTTGACCCGACTCTGAGTGTAATCTAGTGTAAACTGGTCAACGACTCAATCTGAACGGATTCCTGCAACAACCAATGAAAATAGAGCGTGAAAGAAGAAAATGCAGCAAGTAAACAAAGAAAAACGGTAAAAAGTCTCTCACGTGTGGAGCCAAGCTTTTAAATGAGCTGAGTTTAAGACACGAGCACAAACTCTGAAAAATACACTGATCACATTTTTAAATCCATATTCCACACTTAAAACTTAAACCTGCTGCTTTTTTACTCTGTCGGCGTAAACGGCAGAGAAAACAGCAGCAAGCCGCTCTAACTTTGTGTATTTGCACCTCCTAGTAACGAGAGTTTGCGCAAGTTCATTGAGCTCCATTCGGTTTAGAAACAGCCTAAAGGTTGAGTGTTGTGTGATCCCTAATCGTTTTGTGTGGATCCTCAATATTTCAGTCAATAGTGTGAGAAGTCTTTTTATAATCTGTTAAGACTTTAAAAGTCGTGTACTGTACCCAAGGCTTAAGATAGAAAAAGTCAGGACGTCGCTCTGAACTCTTATTATTTGTTGTATTATACTGGATTCACCTGGAATTCAACAACGAGATGTTTGGCGTCCATAGCTCTCCAAAAGATCCAACGTTTGGTTTATTTTTCAAGCCTTAAAATAACCCCAAAATTCACAACCCCTGTTTAAAGTTCCTCATTAAAAACAACCTAGGTTATTTCAATGTGTCCACAGCACAAACCCCACCCACTCTCCTCCCACTTTACTCCGACAGGATGCCTAGTTCTGATTATTAATACTGGAGGCCAAATTAGAAACAGTAGTAAGAGAGGAGGGCAAAGACAGTGATAGCTGTATAATTCCAGTACTGCTTTAAAGGTTCATTTATCCCATTTTTTTACACTGTATAGTAATCAATTCACCCTTGACGATAAACATGGATTAAAACAAGCAAAACATGTCGTCCAGCCTAATTACGCCATCTTTTCAACTTTGCTTCCTAATCACTACCATTGTGGCCTCAGACTGTGCACAGGGCTGCCCATTTATAAAAGTGTACTCAGCTGGAAAACGGATTAGTCACAGTGACTGTTCAGCCCATTAGCCTAAATGCACACTGTTCTAAGAACGAATGACTGTGAAGCAGAGAGAAAACGTACATATTTCACTGGGAAAGTGCAAAGGCTGACCAAACTGCACTTAATGCAACAGTTACTCAAACAGTAATGTGGCTGTAGGGTGTTAAATAAAGCTCTTGTGCAGGCCAGATTTAAAGTCAACCTGAAAGTAAAACTGACCTTTTTTATCCTTAAGTTTGTGTTACTGGTTACATTAAACATGACTCATCATATAATCTAAAAGACAAAATTCTGCTTTTCTATTAATTTTTAATCCGAGAGTAGTGTCTACTGCTCTTCTCATTTCTGATCATGTCTGACCTCCCCCTCCCACCATGTCCAACCATCACAAAGAGTCAAGGCTCAGCTGGCTTAGAGACCCTTTCTGATATCATTTCACTCACAAATACGTTACAAAACCGAAGGAGAACCCACAACGATTCCCCATTCATGTGGACTTTAAAGAGTACGGCCCAATCCCATTTCTCCCCTCGCCGCTACAGCTTAGCCCTACACCTCCGCAAGCAAGCCTCAGCAAGATGGCTGAACAAGCACCCAAAGAAACCCACAAATGTGAGAATTTTCTCCTTTAAAAAATTACGATAACCATTGTATTATCTTAGTACAGGGAGATTCACTCGAAAGAGGCCCCGAATATTCTGCTGTAACTCCTGTTAGGATGAAGCAATCTGAACCAAAATAATACACTACAGACCTTGGCGTGTGTGTAATCGACTACGTTACATGCGATGCTGGAAGTGATCTCCGTTCTCTGCCAGACACATGAAGGGGTACGGGGGTCTGCAACCGGAAGTTGCAAACGGAGGTTAAACGTCACGACGGCTGTCCTCCGCCTACCTCATCGCTCCGACGCAGGAGCATCTCAGCTTGTTCGAAGCTCCATATACTGAGGAGCTCATTGCACGTTGTTTTGTTCAGATCGCTTTGTCCTAGAGAGAGTTATTACAGAATATTCGGGGCCTCTTTCGAGTGAATCTCCCTGTACTACCTTATGTATCTTAGTTTAATGTTGTTTCAGTGTATTATGGTCATTTTCTTAATAACAAACACAAGAATCACTAGTAGTACGCCAATGACTCGGTAGCTAGCTGGCTAATCTAACCGTTAGATTGGAGCCGGCTAATCTCTCTCTCTCTCTCTCTCTCTCTATCTATATCTATATATATATACATACACACACACACACACACACACACACACACACACACACACACACACACACACACCCCCTCCCTGTCATTGTTTATGCAACAGAGAAGTTGCTTGAACTGGGCTTTTTTCGAGCGCTGTAGAATCATTAACCTTTTAAAACACAGGAAATCAAAATGAACCTTGACCCCATGACCAAAAATCATATCCAGCCTGAAAATACATGCATTGTTACAACCGAAATTCATAGTAGGGATGTAAGATAACATCAAAATCACAGTGGCAACTGGTAGAGGATTGTTTAATAATAAAAACCGATCAGCATCTGACGGTTCATTCCCATATCAGCACTTAGTATCTGAAAAGAAACGGAGGAGAACTGACAGACTAAAGCTCAGACTGCCTGCTGGCTGAACTGAGATGTAAGCAGTGTAAAAGGACAAAGGGAAAATTATATTTATTAAAAAACACACACAAAAAAAACAGCAGTATGAGTGCCGGCTCTGGATGGCTGACTTCAGTTTGTGCACTCGCTCATACAAATGTAGCAGCACAAAACACTGAGGTGAACAGCAGGACACTCGAGGACACGAGACCCAAAATGACCCACCCTGCTCCTCTGGAGTCAGCTCCTCTTCCTCCTCACTGCTCTCCTCCTCCTGCCTCATAAAGCGAGGCTCCGCACCTTCAGCTGCTGCCAGTCTGGGGCAGAGAAAGATAAAAAAAAAGGAAGAAAGAAATTAAAAGCAGACAGAGGAAACGGACACAAACACATACATCATATTTACTATGTGTGGCTGTAAGTTTCAACACCTCGGTCAAATTTCTTGTTTGGTTGATTTTCGTTGAAGTGAACAAATTTAAATCTGACATTTTTGTGCACAATGTCCATTTATTTGATGAGTTTAAAATATTGAGAACAAACATAAAACAAAAAATATAAAATGCACCATAATGTTTGTACAGGTCACAGTTTACATTTCATTTTATAATATGTGTAACATATATGTGTAAGGGCAACAGGTATTTTTGAATTATGTCAAAAACTGAAAAACATCAAAAATGGAGATACGTTTTCTTCCGAGATTTTATATATATATATTAGCTTAATCTTTATGTATGAAGCACCTTTGTAACTTTGTAATTTTGTAACTTTACAACTATATTGTTATCCGATTTGTCTTATTCTTCTCTTTTATTATTATTATTTTTTGTCGTTTTTTCTCGTCCCTCATTTCTCCCATAGACTCCCATTCATTTTCGCCACCACACAAACTTACTTCTTTGCCCAACAGCCACCAAACTACTTGTCCTCAAGCTCTAATCGACAGTCACACTGACCCACACTCCTCTGTGTGTCGTCTTTTTCATCCCTCGATCCTCTCATACAGTCCCATTCATTTTTGCCACTAACAAAGCCTTTCTTTTCCCCCCGACAGCCACCAAAGTAAATGTACTCACTCAGGGCAGATCCCCAAGCTCTAATCCACAGCCATACTGACCTGCACTCCTCTATGTGTTTGTTCATCCCACGTTCTTCACAGAGACTCCTGCCTACCAGTGCTTTAGCAACGACATAGCAACACCTTATCAACCACCTGGGATATCATACTAACTGCTGCGCAACCATTCTGCGTTCCCTTTCCAGGTTTCTAGTTATTATTATTATTATTATTATTATTATTAGTAGTAGTAGTAGTAGTAGTAGTAGTAGTAGTATTATACATTTCACTACATAAATGAAATATTTATATATTGCTATAAATACACAGAGACAATAAAAAAGAGCAGAGAGAGCAGATGTGAGCTGAACTGCCTGAATAAAAAGCAGGTCAGATGTGAGTGGGCTTCACTTCACTAACAAGCTTTTCCTCTGCATGACTGTATGACCGGGACACTGCAAGGCTTCAGCTCACAGCGTGCACTCACTGCCCTCAACCAAACACCGCCCCACGCTGCCGCTGCTGCTGCGGACATTCGGTTTAACACGGTTCTCCTTCAGCGTTCCGCACGCCGTCACTGAGACACTGAGCTGTCTAGGGAAAAATCTCTCTGCATTCAGTGGGAGCGAGAGAGCTGAGGAAGAGACGAGGAGTCAACAAGACACAAAGATAGGAGGAGGAGTGAGGGTTGAGTGAGGGGACAGAAAGAAACAAAGATAGAAAGAAATGAGAAACAGGAAGAAGATAAGAAAGAAGAAAGGAACAAGACACCAAGAGAAAATGAGAGTGAAGGATAGAGAGAGCATTAAAGGGCAAAAAAAGGCAAGGAAAAAGAGAGGGTGAGGGGTGTGAAAGCAAAAGAGGAGAGTGAGAGAGAAAAATAGGAGAGAGAAAGAGAAGATGAGAAAAAAAAGATATGGGAAAAATAAAGAGCAAGGGCAGAAAGGAAGTGTATATACACACATATACATACACACATACACACACATACACACACACACACACATACACACACACACACACACACACACAACCCCATTTCCAAAAAAGTTGGAACGCTGTGCAAAATGTACATAAAAACAAAATGCAATGATGCAGATCATATAAACCCTATGTTTCATTGAAAATAGTAAAAAGACAACATATCAAATGTTGAAACTGAGAAATTTTATTGTTTTTTGAAAATTTTTTGCCCATTTTGAAATTTGATGACAGCAACTTGTTCCAAAAAAGTTGATAGACAACAAAAGGCTGGTAAAGTTGTGTAATGCTAAAAAAACACCTGGTGGTTGATTGGCAATAGGTCAGTAACATGATTGGGTATAAAGAGCATCTCAGAGAGGCGGAGTCTTTCAGAAGTAAAGATGAGGAGGGGTTCACCACTCTGTGAAAGACTGCACAATCAAATAGAGCAACAATTCAATAATAACGTTTCTCAACATAAAATGGCAAAGAACTTCTGCTTTTCATCATCTACAGTACAGAATATCATTAAAAGACTCAGAGAATCTGGAGAAATCTCTGTATGAGGCCAAAAAGCAGTATTTGCTGGCTGTAATCTTTGGGCCCTCAGGCAGCACTGCATTAAAAACAGACATGATTCTGTAGTGGAAATCACTGCATGGGCTCAGAAACACTTCTGAAAACCACTGTCTGGGAAAACAGTTCATCACTGCATCCACAAATGCAGGTTACAGCTCTAAAACGCAAAGAAGGAACTGTACATAAAGAGGATCCAGAAATGCTGCCACTTTCTCTGGGCCTGAGCTCATTTAAGATGGATTGAGGTGAAGTGGAAAAGTGTCCTGTGGTCTGACGAATCAACATTTGAAATTCTTTTTGGAAATCATGGACACTGTGTCCTTCGGGCTAAAGACCACTCAGCTTGTTATCAGTGCACAGTTCAAAAGCCAGTATTCATGATGGTGTAGGGGGCATTAGTGCACATGGCATGGGTGACACATCTGTGAAGGCACCATTAATGCTGAATGATATAAATATGTTTTAGCAACATATGCTGCCATCCAGACGACGTCTTTTTCAGGGAAGGCCTTGATTATTTCAGCAAGACAATGTCAAACCACATTCTGCATGTATTACAGCAGCATTGCTCCGTATTAAATTTGAAGTCCTATAACTTACAGTGTTGTTCAAAGAAGAGGTGATGAAACACAGTGGTAAACAGGCCCCCGTCCCAACTTTTCTGGAACGTGTTTTTGACATCAAATTCAAAATGGGCATATATTTTTCATTTTATTTACATTCTGCACAGCATCACAACTTTTTGGGAAATGGGGTTGTACCATATATATATATATATATATATATATATAGTACATATATATATATAGAGAGAGAGAGAGAGAGAGAAGGCAGGAGTAATTGTATTACTCGGAGAGGAGGATATCAACAATACCACTCATTCTGAGTGAGGACGTAAACAGCTGCCTCAGACCGAGTTCAGCCCTGAAGCACAGCAGCTTTTCATTGTTTCATTCTTTCACTCCGTCCATCCACTCTGTGCTGGACTTTTGCCTGACTGCGTCCACAAACCCAAACCGCACACTTAAACAGAGCTTTTCTACAGCCTGCTTCACTTAAGAGCTATACGCCTGAGCGCACCTCGCCTTTAGATAACATCCTCATATCTCACCTACAAAACGCAGCACGTCTTACTGAGAGCCACTGTAGTGCTGTGTAGTGTAGCAGTAGTTCCAGTCCTATCACAACCCCATAACACCTTTATTTTTAATTTAACACCATTTAAAAACACCAGCTCCCATTTCAGGAGGAATCAACAAACAAAAACGGCCTAAAATTACTTAGATTGAACTCTGTAAAACACTATTAAAAGCTTTAAAACATCCTGTTCACTCCCCAGTCCATATCGCTGTAAAGGTACAGTAACAAAAACAGCCTGTTCAAGCCTGAGGGATAAAGAGAGGCTAGAAAATGGTCATGCAAAAATGAAGTACGGCTGTTTTGGTTCATAAAACTACAAGCCATAAATGAACCTCAGGGGGAAAAATAAAGTCAAAGAAAAAACTAGGATATGGGCCGTTAAATGAATATTAAAGGTAAGAGCAACTGCGGTCGTTTTCAAAACAATTCACTTCAGGACGTCCTCCAGGTGTCAGCTGGCACCCTCGAGAAAAACGAGCGAGCAAACAAACCCTAAAGTCACCTTGTCCGACTGGCCTATATTTCACTGCGCTGCAATATCCGTATTGACTGGACAGGTTTAATTAGACATAAATAAACTGAGTGGCGATCAATCACAGTCCATTAGGATCTCACAAAAACAAAAACACGGTGTTACTCTAGCTGTGTAGAGAGCTGTGTTTTCCCCGAGACCCATTTAGAGCTCATTTTTATATCTAAATCACAATTTGAAAAAGTGCAGTTTCCAAACGGCGAGAGGTGCAGTTTTAATTAGAACCTGTATTATCAACAATACTGTCTTAAGGGGGGAACATGAACCTAATTTCAGAGCTTTTAAACTGCCTGTAGATGAATTAGATGAATCAGAAGCAACTAAAAGACATATGCTGACATCACAACCAAAACAAATTTTTATTATATAATACACTATCAACAATGTTGTAAGATTTAAATGAAAAAAAAAATTAATAATAATAATAATAATAATAATAATAACACAGTTTGTAAGCTACCTGTAGATGAGTGAGACCAATATACACCGATAAACCATTGTTAAGGGCTGTAATGGCGGAACGGATCAAATTGCCTCAAACTCACACCGCCAAGGTGATGTAGTTAGGTTGGTGGGAACGTAGCGCTAGAAGCCAGAGTGCTTCCCTGCGCTGAACTGCTAGAGAACACCCACAGAGCTCGGCCCAAAAACTGCTCCATCCTGAAATACTAGCCTGCAAAAATGCTTACAACGTGATGACTATTCTCGCTCTGTGTTGAGTGTAAAATGCATCGACTGGTAAAATGTATGAAGTGGTAATGGCTACTGTTACAACAAACTTGCATCACCATAGGGAACTTTTTAAACAATTAAATATACACCGATCAGGCGTAACATTATGACCACCTCCTTGTTTCTACGCTTATTGTCCATTTTATCAGTTCCACTTACTATATAGGTGCACTACAGTTACAGACTGTAGTCCATCTGTTTCTCTGCATACTTTGTTAGCCCCCTTTTACCCTGTTCTTCAGGGTAAAAGGGGGCTGCATTGCCAATGGAGAAATCACAATGGGAAATTCTTTTTAGTCTAGACTTGGGCTTAATCTGGATCTGGGACACTGGCCCCTAGAGTAAAAAGGGTTAGTCTGGTTGACCTTCTGTGGTAATATGACAAAACTCGTCTCCTCTGCTTAGAAACTTTCGTCTCCATGTTTTCACTGATCTAGCACTGTCTACACAACACGAGTAAACAAACCACGTATCAGTTACAGACTGCAGCTGCAGCTTTGCGCAGTAAACAGTCAAAGCACTGCATTTTTTAAGGATTAAACCAAAATTGGTGCCAACACTTACTTTTAACCGTTAGCAGGTGACAGAACAGGCATTTTCTATGGAAAAAGATGATTTAGCTAAGGAACATGTTGAGAGGACAAGCCACAAATTGAGGGTAAAAATAAAAAGCTATCTGGCTGCTAACAGCGCCCCCCTGGGAAGAATGTGTAGTCTGCAAGACCTGAATGAATTCCATTAGTTGCAGTCAGGATTCTCTGAAGAGTTTTTTCTACTCTGGTTTGCAGGCAACAAACGCAAATACGTACATTTTTAATGATTACATTATATATATATATATATATATATATATATATATATATATATATATATATATATATATAGTATAAAAAGTTCCCTATGGTGATGCACGTTTGTTGTAACAGTAACCATTACCTCTTCATACATTTTACCAGTCGATGCATTTTACACTCAACAGTCTTCACATTGTAAGCATTTTTACAGGCTAGTATTTGGGCCGGGCTCTGTGGGTGTTCTGCAGCAGTTCACTTGAGCTTCTAGCGCTACGTTCCCACCAACCTAATTACGTCATTTGATCCGTTCCAACATTACAGCCCTTAATGATGGTTCATCACGGAAACAGGTATTTTTACATTTTCTTTCCAGAAGCTGGGGAATGTATATGCCCACATGCAACACGAGAGGCCTTCAACACACCCGCAAAAACAAACTTTGGCCATGTATAGGACAGCCGTGTGAATGTCGCTACTGTCAGAACAAAACCCCTTTGTCGTTGTGTTTTTGACCCAATTTGTAAATGTTTAATTCTCGGTACATCGTGTTTAAATTTCCATTTACTTGCAATAAAAGTATGTTTTTTCATTTTGGAGAGCCAAGGTTTTGTTCCAACAGCAGCGATATGTATATATACACATTTAGAGTGCCATGCATAGGTATTCAATCCCCTTAAAAGACACCAGATACATCTGGATTACAAATGACCAAATGACACTGATATTTTTGGTTGTTTTATTTTAAAAGACTGAAGTAAGTAATTAATTTAAAATGATACTGGTATTTTGTATGAAAATATTCTGTGACAAAAAGTACTACGGAAAAATGCTATTAGTGTAAGTACTCAATCTCTGCGCTGTTGTGCTCTAAGTTTACACAGACGGAAGATTTTGCCCTAAAAAGGACACAATTACAGTCAGCCACTACCATTAAAACAGTTCACCTTTTCCAGATAAAAGACTCACTAAACTCATTTACCATCACGACCGTGAATCTCAAGAAAAGCTGTGAAAATAAAGACGAAGGCCCAGTCCCATTTCACCCCTCGCCCCTACCACTTAGCCCTACACCTCCGCTTTACGTGTTCACGTCCAGGGGTAGGATGTCCCGATTCTTCTTGAGATAGAGGGGTGGGGTGAAGTGTTGGGGCTACGTGACCCTCCAAACGGAGGTTTTTCAGAGACTCCAAACAGAGAGTTACGAGAAAAAAAAGAAAATCCGGCAAGATGGCTGAACAAGAGACCAAAAAAACCCACAAATGTGAGAATTTTCTCTATTGAAATTTATGATAATCACTGTATTATCTTAATTTAATGTCATTTCAAAGTATTATGGTCCTTTTGTTCATAACAAGCATAAAAATAAATAAATAAATAAATTTAAAAAATCGCTGATGTCTCGGTAGCTAGCTAGCTAACTCTTCCGTTCCATCAGTTCCGTTGCAGCAGTTCCGACGCCAGAAGAAACTCAAACAAGAAGCTGGTGAATATCTGACTTCAGCTTCATATCACTGAAGAATTAGGGGTGGGTGATAATAAATAATTGCCCCCCTCTTTGAAGGCATATGATGCACTAAATGTAACTAAAGCCCAGCAGTGAGGAGCTGAACTTTACCCTCCTCTGCTGTCACTGCAGACTGGCAGGGTCGCCTACAGAGCAGCGCTGGTAGCTGTTAATGAAGTGATGCTCTTTATTTGAGGGCCCCATTTCAGAGGGAAGATTTCAACCACTACCCTGTAACTCCGTTTCAAGGGGCAAGGAGACACTTGAAAATAAGGCATAGGCGTAAAAATAAGAAATGGGATTTGGCCTAAAGAAATTAGAGATAAAGTTATAGACATAAACAAGGTAAGAAAGGGCTACAAAGAGTGTTTGGATAGCCCAGTGAGCACTGATGGATCAACTGTGAGGAAACAGCGGTTCAGCGGCTGGGACTGGACTGCAAAGGCACCCCACAGTCATGGAATCAAGAGCTAAATGTCTATAGTTCTGTTATTGCTGCTGTAATTATGTAATCAGGACTAATAAAAGGATAATCAGTGTCTGACAAGTGCCTGAAAAAACAGACAAGCCCTCACATAATTAGCTGATGAACATCATTAGCTTGCACTAATAATTATTCTGTCGTATGTTTTCAGTAGCTGCTGGTTATGTAACGCACGGCTGGCCTCTTCCCAGCTGCTCTCTCTACATCATCTTCATGTTAGGGACACAAACTCCTCCATCTGAGAGATCACTTACTTTTTGGCCAGGTCGTCCACTGTGAGGGCCGCATTCCCCTCACTGTCGCTGTGCACCTCGTCATCCTCCTCGTCCCCCACCATCCTGAAACACAGGGACGATGCAAAGGTTAAACTCGCATGCTGACCTTTTCCCGCAGCAGGATTGGGTTGCACCCTGAGCGCGGCGCCGCCCTTGTGTTTTGCAGACAGTGCAGAAAAACCTGCAGGGAAGCTTCCAGCAGCTTCGGCGGAAGCCATCATGCATGGAAAGAGCTGGACGGTAATAAAATTCATTATCACAATATTTTACAAACACATCACAGCCTCAGAGTAAACACTACGACCCACAGCTGCTCATCCAGCGTTGCTTCTGGTTATTAATAGGGAGTTTGTCCCCCTTTGCTGAAGTGACAGCCTCTATTCTTCTGGGAAGGCTCTAGATGTTGGAACATTGCTGTGAGGATTTGATTGAGCATTAGTGAGGTCAGGTACTGATTTTGGATGGTCAGTTCTGGATCACTCCAACTCATCCCAAAGGTATTGGATGGAGCTCCATCACTCCAGAGAACACAGTTCCACTGCTCCACAGCCCAATGCTGGGGCTTTATACCCCTCTAGCCCACACTTGGCACTGGGCATGATGACCTTAGGCTCATGTGACCTGTTTCAGCAACGGCTGACCTTAGAGTAGCTGAATTCATTACAAGGGCTGTCTAAACAAATCTGACCCAGCTTGTTTTGACTAGCCTGATTATTCATCCATATCTGAAATATTAAGTTTCCTTTGGTGTACACATTCTCTGAGCTTATCTCAACACAAATCTGAAGCAATTTGTTTCTCAAATTGGTCAAACTGCATGTTGAGAAAGTAAGCTGGCACATAATTTAATCACTTTAGTCACACGGGACTCTGAATTTAACAAAACGATACAAAATCAACACCTGATTGTGAACTTAATTGTGAAAATTGCACACAATGAAAAAGAAGAAAAATCAAATGAGCGCTGTAAGATGTTAATCTGAGGAATAACTACACAAAACTCCACCCCTTTAGACCAATTAGAACAAGTTAAATCATTTCCCATACCTAAATTTAGTTTATGGACATGAACAGGTCCAAAATTACACCAAAGGGAACCTTACACAGTGTATTTCTACCGAGGTGGCACCAGAGACAGTATTGCTACGTTAAACATTACAAGCCTCGTTGCTCAAATCCGATTTTTTGCTCAAATCTGATTTCTCTGACACAACGGTTCACACTCATTTAGGTAAGTGATTCAAATCTGTCATTAATGTGACGAACCGGCGTCCTGAAATGACCCTCATGAGCTCATCCTACTCAGTAACGTCACGTGAATGAATCACGATCATCATCAGCACAAACTAACGAGCAGAACGAGCTTCGCTGAGAAGATCATTAACTCTGATCAGCTCTCAGCTTCATTATTAGAGCGAGACGAAGGAGAAAAAGGTGAGATGAGCTGCTTTTCCACCGTTTACAGGCTTTAACTTCTGTTAAAGCTGCCATGGTAACGCTGAATGAGGCGCAGTGGAAAAAAAGGTACATGAATTCCGATCTGAGCATCACATTAAGGTCACATGGCCACAAATCGGATACGTATCCAATAAAGGACCACATATGAAAGTGACTCAGGTTGAATATGAAAAGATCAGATTTGTGTGTCCACACAGCCCTAACATCAGATCTGAGTCACATTAGGGCAAAATTGGATTTGTGCCACTTCAGCCTGGTAATGTGAACGTAGCCTGTATCATTTATCAATTAATCTTAAACTGAATATAATGGCAACATACAGGTAAACAACACAGGGATGTACATCAGTATGGGTGGGTACTGGTATGGGGAGATACCAGCAGAAAATGCTGGTTGTGACATTGGAGGAAAAAAGGACAAAGGACAAATCTACCCTAAAATATTTATTACCAATGGAATAAATGGGTTATTAATGCTAACTTAAACTATAAATTATACCTCATGCTGTGATGTATTCATATAAAAGTGTTATACAGAATTTTATCAATACTGCCCAGTACTAGTAATCAGTGTCCTCTGTTGACTTGTGTCTAATGGAAATTCCCCATTGACTACACGTGTAATGCCTATTGACTAAACATTGTAAACCTACACTGGTTTAGAAAAGTGCTCTACAAGTAAAACTGAATCATGCTAAATAGCAGAACTTTCCCCCAGACATGGATCAAGCCTACTCCTGGACTAAAGACTAAGCGTAATCCATGTCTGGGAAACTGGGCCAACAAGTATTTATTGGTCTACAGAAACATTTGGCTATCAAAAGAAATGATAAATGAATCTAAAATGTATATTTTTGTCTGACTGACAAATTAAACCACATATCTGGAAGTAAGGGTGGTAGGGCTGGGCGATGAATCGAGAAGTAATCAAACCGACATGCAGAACCTCTAACCGACGTAATCTTGCCCATGTTGGTCATTTAGATTTTTTTAAAATTCGGTTTATCCTTTCCCCACTCTGTGTGTTCATGTACTGTCCCTTTAAAACTCACTACCGCGTGTGGTCACATGACTCCACCACATCCAGTCTGAGACACGGAAGCTAAGGCTACGTTCACACAGCAGGTAAAAGTGGCCCAAATCTGATTTTCTCACTAAATTTGATTTTTATGTTCAGATTATCTTTTAAATGTGATCTGTATGCGACATCAGTCTGAACAGATCAGCTCCTAAACTGACCCGCATGCGCAAAAGAACAGAGCGTCACGCTGCTTCACGGCTCATCCAGAGGTAAACAATCACGACCGCCAACGAACGCCAGTCGCTCCCGGAGGATCAGCTTCATCTTCACCAGCATCACAGGGGCCATCATGAAGCTTCACTGACTGACAGCTGGGCTCATCACCCAGAATGTGTTCGAGCCGTAAAAAGGGCGCGGTCACTTCTTTGGTTTGCGTCCTCGGATTCTTCAAACTTTGCTGTCAGACTTTTAACTGTTCTTTGACGCTGCAGCCTCGTTCTCCTGCGGCCGCGTTCGGACATTTCTTTCAAAATGTCTTCAAACAAAGAGGGTTTTGGATAATCTTCTAATTTTTGTACAGAAACATCAGCCTAAATGTTTTTGAGTCTCAGCAGCGCGAAATTATGATGAATGTCGAGGTGGATTGACGTAAAGGTCGCGTGAATTCCGATCTGGCTGCTGAGACGATTTACACTAAAATATGCATATTTACGGTACAAACCTTGTGAGTGAACTATGAGGGCAAAAAAAACAAAACAAAAACAAAAACAAAATAATCGTGCATTAATCGTATTCGAGGTAAAACATTCAAGTAATCGTGCTACTGAATTGACGCCATATCGCCCGGAACTAAAGGGTGGTTGATATGACAAAAATATACCATATAAAAAAAATGTATTACAATATTTTTGAGAACAACAAACAGAAGGCACCAACAAAAATTTGTATATGTGATAAACATTTATTAATTCCAAATATTTATTTGAAAATAGCTACACAAAAACAAGGGAAAAGGCAACTCGCAAAAAACTGACAAGATGATGGTATAATGTTATTTATCTACTTGTGACTACGCAATTTATGCAGGTTGTTTCTAAGCTGTCTATAATTGGTCTAAATCTGTCTTGTTTATTTTCCATGTTCAGTGTTGTAGAAGAACTGACTATATTCAGAAAAGCGTATTTTGATGTAACATAACATGATAACAATAACACAACTCATAAATCAACTCCTGAGTTAATCACCAAACCCCCTGAATCAGGTACACTGAAGCAGGAAACGCTCAACCCTGCAGCTGCAGACCTCCAGGAATGCACTTTGGTCATGCCTAGCCCTGCCCTCCTGTGCGCATGTAAACTGCGTTCCACTCACCGATTGTACGGCGTGCTCGGCTCGTCAATCTTCATCAGCCCGTAGTCCTTATCTGGAGGGTGATACGTGGCCAGAATGTTCATTTCGTCCCATTTCTGCGACTTCTTCCTGAAACACAGGGTCCAAATATGGCACTTAGCACACAACTTGAGGCAAAGCCATTAGCACTGATGCAAATACTTCCCCATGAGATCGGCTGGATTTAACCAAGGACTTTGTCCCACTTTAAAAAGTTACGTTTAAAACAGCAGACACGGAAAACTAGTTATAATCCTTTATTTATAGCAGGCCGCTGATCCGTGTCCTTCGGTCAGTGTTTCCATGATAACGGAGAGGATAACATCTAGTCTAAAATGAAGGTAAACCATCATCAGAAGAGGAAAGCAAAAGCTGTATGAAGTTTATGGTCACTTTTGACATTTACTCTACTTTTCAACCCTTAAAGTGATGTTACGTTTGACTGCTGACTGGACCATTTGTAAAATCTTACCCTCCACTCATGTTGCTCTTGTTGTGTTATTGTTTTGCTATCCAGTGTCGACCAGAAGAGGGTGGGTTCCCCTTTTGTGTCTTGTTTCCTCTTATTATGGCCAAATGGTTCTGAGCATGGAGGGTAACCGTTCCAGTAGTGGTTCGACACAGAAAGCTTAAAAACTGGATAAATAATAATCTTACTAGAGTGAGAGCAAAGTCGACTGACTGATGGCGCAGTGACATAAAGCCGAATTCGAACCTGTTCTGTAGTGCTTTGAGCTGTAGCCTGCTAGGCTAAGCTAACACGGTGCCTCCCACTGCAGTACAGGCTCGGTTCTAAGGAACCGATGCTTAAAAACACCCGTTAAGAGGATAAAGGACTCGTATCCGAGAGCAGATTCGAATGACTGGTGTTGAAATGACAAAGATAAAAAATAAGACTTGTTCTATGGTGTCTGAGTTGTACCCAAGCCGGGCGACGCTAATGCTAATGTAGTTATCCGGCTACAGGTGAAACCCACCGCAGTACAGTCTGTTTCAGTAACAGATGCTCAAATACCACCCGTTTAGAGGATGAATCTGAGAGCATGCGGAGAGAGACCAGAGCTGGAGTGACAGACGGAATCAAACATGTGGTGTGTGCATGGCTACTGGCCTGTTAGCAGTTAATTTGTGTAGTTTTCTTAGGTATTTCTTGGTTCTGGTTACAGCAGCACTGCTGTGTCTGATCCACTCAGACCAGCACAACACAAACTAACACACCACCACCACCACGTCAGTGTTACTGCAGTGCTGAGAATGATCCACAAACCGCTGCTTGAAACTGAACAGCAGAAGACTAGAACTGTGACACCGTCTCAGCCAAGAGGCCTCTTTGCAGCTTGAGGGCTGTTATTTACTGGTGGGGGGGGTATATTTGGCTGGTGCAGCAGTAATCTTCCACAGCCTCTCTGGCCCCATCTCTCACAGCCAGTCGATAAGTCAGGGGAGCATTACAGCCAAGCCATGGGACAGGCCAAATCAATTGGTAATGCCCTGTCCTGCTACAATAAAATCACTCAAGCTCCTTTTATTACCAAACTCTGAACTGCTAAGACTCTAAGACAGGGAGACAGTGCTGAATCACAGGCAACACGCAGGCTTTCGGTTCAGCAAATGGCCTTTAACCCTTAGAACTCTTAGACGTTGCAGTTATACCTGGTAATAAAAGCATGACGTAGTTTAATAAGAACTACTTCACATTCAAAGCTCATTTAAACAAGCGAAGAAGTTGTGTGGAAAGTTCAGACCACAGCTGCATTTGTAAATAGGAGAAATGTTATGATTTGAATGTGATTAAGTCATTAATGTCCAAGCAGTCTAGTACCAATACTTTACATTTTTGCCATATTTGTCTTTTTTTGGCATCTGAAACAGACTAAAACCTGTTGATAAATAAATCAATGCGAATGTAATTAATTAGGCAACTGTCATTTATTATTTATTATTTGTTACAGTTAACTAGTATATGAAAATTATAAGAACAACATCCAATAATGATAGCATGGATCTCAAAGTATGGCCTGAAAAACGAACATATTTGTGCTTCCCCTGTTTTGACGCACCTGAATCAAACCACTTGCATTGCTGACTCAAGATCCCCTCTTGAAAGATTCTGCATCAATGCACAAAATATCTTAAGTGGACTTTTAAATAGGCTTGCAAATCATTTCTGTCAACAGTTTTAACGCGCTGAAACTTTCACATCAAGTCTAATTCAGTTTTATTAGTAAAAACTCTCAGACCACAAGACGGAGACAATGAGGAAGAAGAACTTGATTAATCGAATAGCAGCAGCGAACGTTTCTTTTAGTCAGTGCAACTTAAACACGTAGACACTAACAGCCCATTCTGTTACAGAAATAATAATTTCATGAAGAATCGACCAACAGAAACAGCCCAAAATAACTTGGAAGTCTGGTTCCATTGACTTAAAAAAAAAAAGTAAAGTAGGTTTTTTCCTTCTCCTGTAAAGTTACTATTTGGGAGATATGAGATTTTCACACACACACACACACACACACACATATATATATATATATATATACACATACACACATACATACATAACACACACAGTGGCTGATACTGGTTGATGTTCCACAGTTATGTATTTTGTTCTAACTGTTAAACTGTTGTACCATACATATGTGCAGATAACGCAACATACAAGCAGTGCAATTGAAAATATCATATATTTACACACACAAAATGCCCATGATAGGCTAAGACTAAGCCCAAGGCCAGTCGTTCCCATTTGTCCACTGCCTCAAACACAAAGTGGACTACTTCAGATACAACGGACTAAAGGGCAGAAGGTGATCGGGGGTCTGCCTAGATTTTATTTTCAATTGCACTGCTTGTACGTCACGTTATCTACGCATGTGTGTGGTACAACAGTTTAACAGTTAGAACAAAACACATAACTGAGGAAGAACTTCAACCAATATTGGCCACTACTAACTATAATATTAATGTGTATGTTTCCAAGACTGAAAAATATTTGCAGATTAGGGCTGGGCAATATGACAATATATCTCGTTATTGGGATAAATGATGTCATTATGAGGATATCATTATGTCAGTACTCGTAGAAATCAGATCACCTGCATGTCTTATTAAGACGAGATGAAAATTAGTCCCGTTTACCTGGATTCAGAGCCACACAGCGTGAGAAATATTGAATAAAAAATCATTAAGCTCACAGTTTTTGATTTTTGATTTTTTTTTTGTTTGATTTTTTTTAAATGTAGCTCTACTGGTTCTTTTTCTCTGTTCCAACTAATCAGATGTCAGAAAAAATGACATTGTGTATACTGATAATTTCTTGAAGTATCACAATGTTATATTTTTAGGTGTCGGCAACCTCCATTTTAGATTAATGAAAATTTTATCAGTAATTTTGCAAAAATTTAGCAATTCTTTAAACTGCTATCATGCCCTGTATACATCTTGGCACCCTGAATTGAAATTTAATCAAGCTGTGATGTGTCGAGACATTCCCACCCCATATGCAAATTTGTTAAAAGCTTTGGGCTTTGGATCCTTCACAACTTGTGTTTTAAATGCTGCAGTCTGAACACAGTACTCTGAACACAATAACTCTGCTTGGAAGGAAGCCTTTCTAATCTTATAGCTTCAGTCAGAATATTTTGGGAACGGATTCTGTTTTTTGGGTTACTCAAGCAGCTGTGGGCGTGACTGTTATTTATAGACTGAATTGGTCAAACAGTGAAGGTAGCGAAAGCTCTGGGAGGAGGTCCAACAAGCTGGATTTATTCATTTAAACGTACTTCAGATTCATTATTCTTCTGCTGTGGGACTTCATCAGAAAACAGACGATAAAACACCATTTCAAGCCTGGCTGGCGTGTTCCTGTGTGAGGATCACATCTTTGAAGTTAACCCCTAATTTTTAGAGTTAGGCCCAGTCCCATTTCTTACTCTTACACCTACTGCCTTATTTGTCACCTTGTCCCTTCAAACTCAGTTACAGGGATAGTGATTATAATCCTCCCTCTGAAATGGGACCCTCAAATAAAAAGAGCATCACTTCATTAACAGCTATCAGCGCTGCTCTGTAGTGACCCTGCCAGTCTGCAGTGACAGCAGAGGAGGGTAAAGTTCAGCTCCTCACTGCTGGGCTTTAGTTACATTTAGGGCATCGTATGCCTTCAAAGAGGGGGGCAATTATTTATTATCACCCACCCCTAATTCTTCAGTGATATGAAGCTGAAGTCAGATATTCTCCAGCTTCTTGTTCGAATTTTCCCGTTCCACCTTAAATGCTGCAGCAGTTACATTCTGGTGTTTCAGGCGTCAGAACTGCTGGACTATTTAAGGTGGAACGGGAAAGTTAGCTAGCCAGCTACAGAGACATTAGCATACTATTAGTGATTTTTTAAGCTTGTTATGAAGAAAAGGGACATAATCCATTGAAATGACATTAAACTAAGATAATACAGTGGTTACTGTAATTTTTTAACGAAGAAAATCCTCAAATTTGTGGGTTTCTTTGATCTCTTGTTCAGCCATCTTGCCAGTTTTTCTTTTTTTCTCATATCACTCTGTTTGGAGTCTCTGAAAAACCTCGGTTTGGAGGGTGTGTAGCCCCAACACTTCACCCTACCCCTCTATCTCTACAAGAATTGGGACACCCTACCCCTAGACGTGAATGTGCAAACCGCAAAATTCCTCGTTTTTGTGAGGTCACATAAAACAGCGCATGTACACTGGAAGTTTAGCTCCGCCCATTCACGCTTAAATTCTAAAGCCCGTTTCACACCAGATGCGATGAATCGCGCTTGTTAATCCGGAACCACTCTGGGATGCTTGATGTTTCACAACAGCAGCTGCATTTTCACATAATATAAACGTCTGTATAGGATAAGATAAGATAAGAAAAACTTTATTGTCCATTAAATTTACATGAAATTTGTCTTTGGCAATCTGGCACATAAATACATAGACACATAAAACACTTAAAAACACTTACAGCAGCAGCGCACATGAACTATGGAGGGGATTATTTATTATGTTCTTATTCCGAATGTTCACAGCAGTGGGCACAAATGATTTTTTGTACCCATTCTTTCT